GACGTCAAGTATTGCTATGATTGAAAATTACAACACTCTTCACCGGTTTCAGAATATTCCATCTATCAGAGCATTACATCTATCGAGACACATATAACGTTGATAACGAACACTTGCCACCGTAAAAAAGTTTCAAAGCTAAAGTTTCGAGCGTTAGCACTTCGTCAGAGCGAATGGAGGAATTTTGGTTTGTGTGTGTGTTTACTCTCAACTCCATCCGTGTGTGTTTTTCCTCCATTCGCTCTGACGAAGGGCTAGCGCCCTAAACGTCAGCTTTAAAACACTTTACGGAAGCCAATTTAGGTTATCAACTCATTTCATAATACTAAATCACCCTTTCATAATCTCCCACCGACGCAGCACCGCAGTTTCTTGAGAAACTTACCCCCTTTATAGTGGAGAAGGCTACAGTTTGGTTTTAAACGAGTACTCACAGATCAAATTGGGAAGACGCAGCATCAAAGTCATGCACCAGCATGACTCGCGTTGTAAAGAGCATGGAAATAGCTGTTAATTTCTGCATTAATTTAATTGCACTTCGTGCAGAGCCGAACTGTAGATGAAACTCTTTAGTCGAGACAGCTGGTCAAACACAACTTGCGAAACCACAGACACTGAACAAAAGAACTTATTTATTTTTTTTTACCTGTTAACCCCTTGAGTAAATAGCATCTAATTTCTCCCCTCGGTCACATATAAAGACCATGAAAATACATGAAATAATCCCCAACTAAAGAAGCTTCTGGTTTGTAAACAGTTTTTTCTCTCAGCACCTTAATAAATGTATAGAGAACAGTATGGAGAATATGCATACACCCAAGTGTAAAGGGTCAGCTCTATAAAGTACTGACCACATAAGACCATACAGCTTTCCAAGAATCTTCATACGATTACAATTGTCCCTTAAAATGACTTATTTACCGACTTATACAAGTTATTAACTAAGTTCATCGTTTAGAAATACAGTGACACATATTTACACATTAGAATAGAAAGACAGGAAAGACAAGGACATGGAACACCATTCTCTCACCTTTCCACGGTCGTGTCCCTACCCTCCCTCAAACAAATGGTCAGAAACGAAAGTGAATACGAACGAAAAGAAATTCGCCCCTTAAATTAGTCTGTAACTCTATGGTTTTCTCTTTCTTTCTCTTTATCTTTTGTTTTCCTTTTTTTCGGAGACATGAATAGAATTAACTCATCTGGTCCCCTGGTTTTATTATGTTGTTTGTGATCTTTTTGAGCCGTTAACAATCGATATCAGCTGTTTATCGCTAATTGGTGGTTATTGCTTTTTGTACCTTAACCCTTTAACTCCCATGAGTGACCAAGACAGAATTTCTTCTTAAATTATTAATATTATGTCAAGAAGACAGGTGATAAGAATACAGAAAAATATCAATTAGGGGATTATAAGTTGATCACATACCAAAATCTCCAAACTAACATCATAAGAATTGTATGGCAGACTAAATAGAATTAGTAATGAGATCCTGGGAGTGAAAGGGTTAAAATGTCGTTCTATAAATCCATGTAAGTGACTCATTTTTTACACAACACTGCTCGTAAGGGAGAGTACGCGTACGACGTTCGTTTCTTGTCATGCCAGAGGTTACGCTACTTGTGCGTAAGACCTAAGTTACCTTTTCGCATGGGTAAAAAAAGGTGAAGATATTCTGCGATTTCCATAAATCAAACGATTAATCAAACGATAAAGATATCTTCATTTTGGAAAAACTTTAGTTCAGCATAATTTTGGTGCAGTTCAACATGTCATGGAGCTTAGCAAGAGGGCTGTCCACCAATCTCGAAAGAAATAACATTAAGTGTATATATCAAGTTATTAGTGCCTATTAATGTTTGACGAAGAAGCCTTTTTATCTTAATTTTTGGAAAATTTCAACTTGTTGTGTTATTAATCAAATTTCACTCTCAAAGTCTAAATATGTAGAAATTTCTCGATTTGATCCGCATCTCTGCTTCACTGATCGCGTGTCTGTGTTACAGACTTTGGTTGATATTGTCCGTTGATAAGAACAAATAGGTTCTTTAAACAGCACACGATGCATTCACCGGTTAAATCACAAAGTATGTATCATGTGTTGTTTGTACCATGGAAGACTTGAAATGTTTGTTTGACTGACTTGCTTTAGTCATCAAGGCTGTTCAAACCTTTGGTACTTATCAAGGGAAGTCAAGAAGAGGTCTCAAGGCTGACTTCTAAGTGTTTCACTTTTGCTTCCTGAAGGAAAGATTCAATTTGGCAGATAGCAGTGATCCATTTCGAATCCTATTTAAAGACTGCATTTCCAAAGAACGGCTTCTAATGAGTGTCGCGCTTTCAGGGTTGTCTTCGAAGAAGAACTTTTGGTGATTTTCAGCGTCAATCATTAGGCGTTGAGCTGCCTTGTAAGCGAAAAGGCCTTTGCTGAAGCGAAACACGTGACAAGTGGACTTTTGCTCTTCTTTAGTTTCCTCCACGTACATATAAAACTTTGCGTTATCACAAAACATTGAGATGATGTCACGCCATTGGAAACTATGACATACTTCGCCCACTTCGGGAAATTTACTCTTCAAATGGCAAATACGCATTCCATCCACTGTAACACAGAACACAACTTCTTCTCCATTGTGATCATTTATTCCATAATGTAAACAAGCTCCGTAGTTATCCAGTTCCTTGCAAACGTCGAGGGCCGCAGACACCGCCTCCTTGCGGGTCATCCCGCGATGCGATTTATGCAAATCTTTGACCATTACTTCGTAACTTTCCTCGCTAATGTTCTCATCAGTGTTAATACCTGTGGGTGGGAAATAAAATAAACCTAACAGTTCCTCTAAATAACCAGGCTTGTGTCGCTTGCCACTGAAATCTCCGAGCGTAGCTTGCACGTAGAATCCATCAATCATGGCATGTTTGCTAACAGGGAGGGAAAACTTTCCACGGTTGATTAGCGCTTTGACCTGAAGCAAAATGAGCCACTGCAAGTTTTCCTCCACTTTGAGAGGGTCCCGGGGAAATACTTTCACAGCGAACTGAAACAACAGCGGTTTGGATTTTCGTTGAGGAGGAAGTTCTTTCTCGAGGTTCAACCATACCAATTCGCCATCTTCGCGGTCAATGTACTGAAGCCCAAAGTACTGCTTGTAATAGAGAGGCACTTGGATCTTGTCGCATACTCTATCGAGCAACTCGTTTCCCTTCACCGTCTTCTGTTCAAATGATGTGATGAATTGCGAATTGTCGAGTAACACAACTTGACATTGTATGATGCTTGAAGATGAGCGAAGAAAGCTTAAAGACATCTTGACCTACTTGTATTAGAAAATATCGCCTGTCTTGAATCAATTGTACTTCTTTTGTTCCAGCACGATGTAAAACTGTCTTTCTTTCAAGAATTTTCCTGTATAAACTTCCTCAGAAAACTATGCCAAACAGCTCATCATGCACGCACACCTACTCGATCTAATATTTATCAAACTCACTGTATTTCAATTGGGTGATATTTTTAGCGTCTGTCAGAGATACGTGACTAATATCTAAGTTGTGTTGATTCGGTAAGGAAACGGTGGAAAAAAATATATAAGGTTACACTGTGACGCTCGAGTGACGTAGAGAAGGATCAAGGTAGAGACACAAACAATTTTAGACTTGAATTCCTGGGAGATAAAGTAATAATTTTCAAACTCTACATTGATGTTGATCAAATGATCGGCAACGATGGAATTCAGTAATTATCAATATTATATTTTGGCTATTGGTTTAATCCCGCGGGCTCTGAAACCGGAAGTGCCTTCTTTCAATAAGTCATGTAAAATTCATATCAGATTGCGGGACGTACGATTGATACCACTGTGAGCTTCAGCCAAAGGGCGGAGAGATAGGAAGTATGAGTTATCCATTCAACTTCTGAGACTAGAGTATAGAGAAACGTTAAGTTTTCAAAAACATCATGCATCTGTCAGCATTCTAACGCAATCTAACGAAAGGATACTGTGTACACATTGACTGGATGGGAGGGCCAGACGAGAAATTATTTGGCTTAAGGCCATGACGTACAAACTGAGAGCAGCGAGGTAATTGTGACATGACTGAGAGCCAAATACTATCCCGTCCGTGCCGACCAAATTCAGTCAATAAGCATTTCATCATATGACCACTATGAGCAGGCAACTGCTAGAAAGATTTTGCAATAATTTTTCCCTTCTTCCTTCGAGCCATACATAATCTATCGCAAAAGAACCTACTGAGGCCGTACGGGTTCTTTCGGACCACCGGCCCACGCCAATGGGATTACTGTTTAGAGCGGTGCTTAGGACAAACTGGTCGCGCTTTTTCATCTTGAGCATCCATTAGACTTGGGGAGCGCTCCGTCCGTTTTTATTTTTAAAAACAAACCTAAAATTTTTTGTTTAATATTTGAGCATGTCGATCTAACTCTTGGTTTAGTTTTTGCATTACAATTATTTAAAGTAAAAGGTTTTTACTGGATCCTAAAATAAACTATTTTTGAAAGAGCATTGGGATTTTGCTGATGTAATGCACAAGATATTAATTATTATTAATATTTAATAAACTTGCTTAATTCCACATGACCTACGTGTCGGCCATTCTTTCAGTGTGCACGACATGCCCTTGGAACACAAAAAAAATTAATGAATTCAGTTTACATTTATGTAAAATGAATAACTCAGATAACTGGCCGGTTCAGGTGACGTGTTTGTGTCTGTACACTAATTGCGTGAAAGGAAAAGTTCAGGAAACAGGTATATGCTAGGAAGTTCACACGAGCTCATCAGATACAAAACTATTCGTTTAAAATGTTATGCAAAAATAAGCTGACAAACTCTCTTTGTGAACTCTACAGCGATGTCGTAGGACATCTTACAAGCGACGGCGGCCACGCGACATTCGCGCGAGAAAGCCCTTTCAACCGAGAGCCAATCAGGGGTCAGTAGAGAACAGAAACAGAAATACTCGAGGGAAAGGAGAGATTTTTTAACATGTGTTGACATTGCCCACAGAGCGATCGTGCTTTATCACTTTAAAAATTCAACTCTTTCTGGGTTGTGGGTTAGCATAATAATCAAGGGATGGCAAGGAAAATATATTTTGGAAGAATGAGGTGAAGGTTGCTCCAGCAAAGCCTTCTTATTAGAGGTGATTGCGGTGCTCAAGCTTACTTTCAGTTTTTCAGATGGCGAATTTTAAATCCGTAAAATTTGAGCGACGAAAATCTTATGGAAGACTGGAATGTCAAGTTGTTCTTCTTGACAATTCTCTCTATGTAACTAAATTTGATAGCAAGTCTGCTAAAGGACAAGAACTCTTCGACAGAGTGTGTGAGAAGCTAAGTTTGCCGCCGAACACGAGAAACTACTTCGGCTTGCAGTTTGTAGATGGCATTGATGGAGAATTAACGTGGTTGGATTTTGAAAAAGAGATCAGACCTCAGCGAAGAAAACCGTACACCTTTCAATTTGCTGTGAGGTTCTATCCTCTAGAAGCCTCTGTCGAACCCAAAGAAGTTCAAGAATTGTTGATTTTGCAAATCAAAGATTCTCTGATTCGAGGTAAATTTATCACCTCTGTCAATGAGCACGCCATTCTGGACGGATTTTTCGCTCAGGCCGTTCTTGGTGACTTCAACCCCAAGTTGCACACTCGTGGCTATTTGGAGGATTTATTGGGGTCGTTCTTCGCTCCCCCTAACGGAATAAACTGCGATGCTGAATTGAGTGAAGAGAAATACGAAAATATCGTTTACAAGTTACATCGTTCTCATAAAGGTATGACTCCTAGCGATGCAAGAATTGCCTTCCTAGAGATTGCTTGTAATCTTCCTTTCTATGGCATGTCAATACATCATGGAGCGACTGATAAAAATGGTAATAACGTACATTTGGCGTTATGTAGTAGCGGAGTTCTCGTCTTTGATGTTGACACCTTTGGAATACCGGGAAATGTGGTTCAAAATTTTCCCTGGCACGAAATTGTTACCATGACTTTTCAAAACAGGAAATTTTATGTGGTTGTTTATTCTCATGAAAGGAAAGACGGAGGAAGCTATTCTTACAGGTTTCAAGGGCATTTTAGCCACAAAGCCTCAGAAAGGGTTCTGCACGACGCTCTACAGCATCAAGCGCTTTTTTACCAGCCTGAGAAGAAGTTATTTCGACGAAGCAAATCGTTTGGAGAAGTCGATTCTCACATAGGCACGAGTCAGTTTAAACGCAACGACAGGAAATATGCGTCAACATTTGGCAAGACACGCAGCCGTGGATCTTTCAGGAAATTTACCGATTCCATTCGAAAAAAGATGCCTCGTAGACAAAAAAGTGCACCAGCTGATTCATCCCCCGATGAAAGCCCTAATACCAGCAATTCAAGCACCATGACCTACGTATAAGGTCGTATAATTCTATGGTCTTAATGATAAAGTGAATTCACCGGTGTGTGATTGTGGATCATGAAAAGAAAACTGTACAAAAACTTTTTTTTGATAACTGTTGTGGTTACATTATTTGATTATTATTTATATTAATTTCAGATGACCATTTTTTTTTTAAACAATACGCCCTTCTTTTTGCTTTATTTTCCAAGGAAGATTGTATTTTTATCAGTAAATGGTCAGAAAAAGTTGGTTTTTTGAAAGCTAAATATGCTTGTGCCAGTGATATAAAGACGTTGCACCTTTGCAAATTTACCTTCAGCAATTCCCTCTCACTTAGAGTTATAAAGTGTTCCGTAACAAAGAACAGCAACATAACTTTATTGATAAGAAATATGTATGTAATGTAATGTTTAAAGTTACCAAGAGCCAAGTAAGGGCACAGAAAAATACATACAAAGAACATAATGTCTGTTCCTATTACATGTTAAACAATTTAACAAGGGAAGATTTTTTATTCCACTTTCATTTCATTTTCTTGTATTTTACCTTTTAGTTTTATGGCCTTTTCTGATTTTATTATCAATTGCGCAAAAGATAAAATCAACACAAATGAAAACTACTCAAGTGTTCTTTGTGTTCAACAATAAGTAACTAGTATGTGTAAAGTTTGGTTCTTTGAACATCAAGCTAAAATATAAAAATTAATGTTTGGATCATTCGGTGCATCCATTTTGTAACTCATCTTTCCATCCATATTTTTGCGTAATGCTGTGGCATATTTTGCACATTATATTCCATTGCATGGTGGTGGAACAATAAATATTTATCTATATATTTTGCTTATTTAAGCTTTTAAAAGAAGTTTGTAATTACTCCTTTGCATTTCTGGTGATTACATTGAATTTGTTTAGTGAGCAACTTATCTTCTCTCTATTATGTCAGTGTTTTATCTGGTTTTTTAATGTTACTAACAGCTCTAACTTTCTTGTTCCTTACAGACATGATGACAGTGAGATTTTCCATTTTTAAGTCATAATGCTGCAGTATTATTTTTCTCTGTCATGTTTTTACCTGAGGTATGATTTAAGAAAATGTCTACTCTTTCCTTATAAATAAATAATTTGCTTTTTAAACAAGTGTTTTTGCTCTTTTTAAGTGGGAAGCTCATTGAATTTGAATTGTTAAGTAAACATAATTTTAATGTGAATGTGTAAAGGCAAGGAGATGGAGACAATGCTTTAAACTTATGGTATGAGTTAAGTTGAAACATGTTTTTCTTCAAAGTATTACTATACATTAGACTTATTATGAAAAAGCTGAGTGGTTGAGAGTATTCAATCATCATAAAATTGCATGTGAAGCTTGCACAATAAATGCAATGTCTGCAGTGAATGTTGCATCTGTCATGTTGAGTTCAAAGTCTGCCTGGTTTCCAAATGCTTTGAAAAAAATGTAACTACCATTAACTGCTTTTTATTCCAAGTCTGAAATTGATGTTGATGATGATGGAAGTTCTTTGTATTCAAATTTAAAACTCCCAACCTGACAGAACAAATTACATCTTGAGATTTATGATGCTCAATGTCTTTATGGTGTGGTATCAGACCTGTATTTGCTTTCATCTGCCAAAATTTGGGTTTGTGTTTTGGGAAAATTTTGGCAGTACTTAAATTTGGCAAGTGTAGTGAGAATATTACTCATATTTAAGTGTCAGCTTACTGTAGTACAGTACATTTTTATGCTCATTTGGGGTAAGGTGAAAACATTTCTGTTATGACAAGGATGTTTTGCTCAAGCTAAGAGAGGCTTTAATTAACATAGGCAATTTAGTGTATAATTTGTTGTTTCAATAATGAAAAATGGGAGTTAATATAGAGGGTATTTTATTAGTTCAGTATATTATACCCTTTTCTATTTCTCTTTTGTAATCATTAAAATGGAGGAAAATTGAAAAAAAAAAGCGACTAGTGGACAAATTTTATCAGTGGATAACTCGTGTAATATGCTGCAAAGCTTAAAACGTTTATTTGAGTAATAATCTTAATATTACAATAATTTCCTGTATGTGAAGCATTGATATATGAGGATATTGAGGATCTATATAGTATTAAGTATCTTAACTCTGTAAGTTATAAAAATGTTTATAAATATTCAGGAAAGCAATTCTGAATTCAGTGGTTATTTTATGATTCTTGTTTTAAGCACAAGTACTAACAATGAAGTAATGTCAAAATTCAAAGTTCATCATTTTCATCATTTTCACAATTTTAAACAGTTATTTTAATCCTTAGTTCAAAATGTATCTTCCATTTTGGGTACTGAAAAGTACATGTATGTTTGTGTGAGACAAGTTTACCCATTGAATGTACAATAAGAGGACCTGTGTGTCCATCCTTGAGTTGTGATTGGAGACTTTGATCAAATGTGACAAGAGACAAGATTTTAAGCATGATGTTCACTGCAAAATCAAATTTCTACTGTCTGAAAATTCCTTTAAATATTCACATTTGTTCTTGAAAGGTTCTTCTTGTTCTGCAATTCTTTTGAAGGGATAAAAATTACAGGATTAACAACTGGCAGCTTCAACATCATGCTTAAGATGAATCCCTATTACGTCCTCTATATAATTATGAAGTCTATTACTTACAGAAATGAAGTACCAGTTGTTACAGTAACTTTACAAAGTCATTGTAAGGTACATGTAGTGAATAAAATCATATCCATTTGTTGTACTGAGTTAACAGTGTAAGGTGGAAACTAAGACAAAGTTTCTCAGACTTGAATAAACTTAAATTTAAAGCTTAAAACTTATAAGTACTAATTTCAAGCAGACTCAGGAAGTGTTACAGGCCACCTAAGAATCAAATAAACATTATTTGCAATTGCATTGTAAAAAAGTACATATTACGTAATATTGCAATTGGCTTTATAAGTGGTACTATTTCAGTAATGCAATTTATTTCTTATAATAATCTAAAATTTGTGCAATAACTACAAACCATACAAAGTCATATTAATAGTGATTAACATGACAGTAAAAATAAGTTTTAATACATTATAGGATAGGACAGCAGGTAACTGATAGAACCAACTACATTTGCTGTACTGCCATTAAAACAGCTTCTGTTTTAATCTTCTAAATAAATATGGCACACATCAAGAAATAAAAAATAAATTAAAAGCAAGAAAAATTGAATTCAAATGATCTAGTTACATGTTGAAGGAAGATGCAAGATTGGTTTTTTCTTTATTCTCACTTATGTGCCACATGTAACCACTGTCACAAGTGAATTATTGGTCTCTTAGTTTTTCCAGGCTTACATGTAAGTGCTATTGACATAAAAGTTCACCCCCACTTGTTATTTACTTTGTTACTGGCCTTCTAACCATCCCATTACTTTTTGGTAGTTCCCTAGAAAGCTATTCTTGCCAAAGCCATAATTGAATTGGTCTTCTTTCTCAAAGTATTACTTAAAAACTGTAATTCAAAGTAATAACTGATTTATTGATTTAATGAAATTATCAGTACAGTACAAGCTACCAGGTACTAAGCAAATAAACAACAGGACTTGGGGTCTCTGACAAAGTCTATTCTTAACCCAACTCTGATATAATTTCCTATGATTATATTGAGCTGATAACTAGTGTTTGAAATTAAATGACTCTTGAGTAAAGTTGGTTCAATGGGCAGAACATGATGAAAAGGATACCTCTCATTCTTGAAATCATAACTTGTTTTCATTTTTGGATCTGACTGCGCTGGATTTTCATAAATCTTCCACACAGATGAATATCAAACAGACAACTAGAGAGTTACGCAGGTTGGAACACTGTCAAGTTCATAATATTCATGTGTAATTTTTTCTGAGCCCACACATACAATCCTCATCCCAGAATCTTTATCATTGTTAATTTGCTGGCCAATAGCACTCGTGACAATCATTTCCAACTCTTGATCAAAGCCACCAGCATTTCTGTGATAATGACCAGCAAATACATATTTGATCCCTGCATTTTTCATTTTCGATAGCATTTGTTTGCGTAGATTTAACTCGATATTAAAGTAATCGTTATTCTCGTCAGGATTGCCAAAAAACCAAGGAATGTGTTGAAACATCACAATATGATGTGCATCGCATGATTTTGCAAACTCAAGCTGTTCATCCAGCCATCTGTCCTGTTCTTGTTTCTGATCAATCACTTGACTTGCATCTTTGTAAAATTGGCTATTAAGAACAATGAAGAAGACTCCTGTAAAAAGAAAAGAGAAATCAGGACCATGAGATTGCAATGGTTGCTAGTGACTGTGAGAGATTTAATTTTTTCCCAAAAAAATACATTTACTCGCATCAGTTATAATATTATGTGCAACAAAATTTGGCTTTGATTATCTAATTAATTTAATTATCTAAGTAAACTTCTTTTTTTTAATTTGTGTGATAGAAAGTCACCCTAATAGTGGCTTGCACAAATGGTTGAAATATTTATGAATACAAAAATTGGGGACAGAAATCATAAAACTAATGAAATGAGTAGGCTGATACCTTACCACTCCTCTACTGAACCAACGAAGTTAGCAACATGGCTATAAATTAATCCTATTGTGTAAGAAGCAGCTAACATTCTAACACATTTTCTGCAGACCAAATCACTAGTGGCTCTATCCCCCTTGAGAGATATAAACATTCAACTCGAGTGGGGAAAGGGAATCTAGGCAACTGAGAGACTTTTATTGGCCTAACACATCTGCTGCAGTATCCCGTAGGGATTCTTAATTCACAGTGTGAGATGGTATGAGAAAAGCTGTCCTTCATCTTTCTCATTAAGGAGATAAACAAGGGTGTTTATACATTTTTTATATACTAAACTAACCATTTTTTTCATTCATCTTTAAATAAAATATATATGTATTGACTTCATAGAAAAGAAACATATTTTGACAAAATTCTATAATAACAAAAATTTTGCTGTACATCAGGTGATTGACAGTAGGCTGGATGCTGCACATGTTATAATTAAGCAGCTCTTTCAAAATTTTCTCTTTTAACTTGTGCAAACAAGGTTTTATGGGGACTCTGATATCCCAATGAGTCACTCACTCATCCTGAATCTAAGATGTAGACACTGTGGTAATTAGTTGTCCCGAACTCATGCATAAAATGATAGAGAGGCTTTGTTACAGTTTATACTATGCATCATTGCTTTAAGTATCACCTTCCAAGTGAACAAAAGTTTATCAAGTTCAGGCACAAACCCAGTACTGGGAACTGCCTCGATTGTTTATGATTTGATATAAAACAAAAACTTTGATTACATTCAATTATCTTAAGTAATCAGCAGCTGGATCAATCAGAAGTGGACAAAAATAATCATGTGCTTTTTCTGACAAAAGAAAACTTGTGGAATTCATTTCTGAATATCTTTAATTTCAATCAGTCAAAAAAACTTCTGGTCACATAAAATGTGTTCTGAGGTATATTTGTTCCAAGGCACAAAAATTTTAAGTTTGTGGGAGTGGGAGAAAACCCTGTGAACAAAGATTGCTGTGTTATATTGTGCAACTGTGAGGTGAAATGTGACATAGGAATGGAAGATAGTAGAATTTAGCCTGTACAGGTTAAGAAAGATTTGAATGGCAGCATCTCAATTTGTCAAATTCTGCAAATAGTAATTTGATAATTGCAGGATACTATTTTGTGCTGGTTTTGTTGATTTTATATGCATTTATTATTTTGCTGAGTTGGATGGCTACCATAATTGTGGAACCCTCCATGATTTTCCCGCAGCTTGGCATTGCTGCAAGACCAGTAATTACAAGTTCACAACCATGTTTCATCTCTTGATTGAATACTTTATGCAAGAGTTGGCCATAAGTATTCTTTGACTTTATCATTATTTCTTTTTCTTTTTTTTAACCACAGACTAAGAGAATATGCCAATTCTAAGTCAGAATGGCCTAATGGAAAACTTATTAAAAGATCAAATTAAATCTACCAATAGTCAT